TCTTTGCAGTGGCGTGGCGTGCTTTGCGATTAATCGATTGATCTGCCATTTAAACCTACGGAAAAAGATCGATTCGATCATAAGATGTTCGCACCGAACACCTCATGATCGATTCTTTACCATGGTTATACAAATGGGGAAATATCGGTAATCGACATTCACGCTTCGCCACAGTTTCTTTGCTTTTAAGTGGAAACCAGATTATCTGGACTCAAATTTGCGGAGTCATTTTTGGGAGTAATTATGGTAGAAAATTTATTGAGGTTTGTCAGAGAGGGATGCCTGAGTACTGAGAAAAGTATGGTAACTTTCAGCATGAGTCTACTTGACTCCTGTCACTGATATTGTTGAGTACAGGTCACAAAACCCCTCTAAGTGCATTTTTTAGAAGTATAAACTATGTTGATAGTAAGTTTCACCGCATTATCTACTGCTGGCTCCTATACTCATACTCATGTGTCAGAGTGTAGTCATTTTTTTTTTTTTTTTTTTTTTTTTTTTTTTTTTTTTTTTTTTTTTTTTTTTTTTTTTTTTTTNTTTTTTTTTTTTTTTTTTTTTGAAGAAAGGGTTTTAACCTAGATATCAATGGATCTCTTTATACGCTAAATTAAATATTCCAAAAATGTCCTTAATAAAACATTTACTTTGGAGAAGTAATGGAAATATTTTCCCTCGACATTCCAAATACGCCAATTCAAAAAGCAAACAAAATCTCCTGAAAAATTAAGTAAACAGATTCACAGGTTCTCGGAAAGTTTGTATTTTATCAAAATAAATTTGGCAAAGTTCGAATGTTCTTACACCGTTTTTCCTTATAGCAAAACATTGTGTCCGGAACGATAGGATAGCAACTAAATCGCTTGATCTTTATTTTTCTCGAATCCTCCTTGAAAAACTGTTTCGTTTGTTGTAAGGTGGAAAGAAAAATAAAAGCCATACTACCACGTGCCAATGTAGATCGCTGTAGAAACTTTCGAATGTTGCCGATTTTTCCTGAATGAAATTTTTGTTTAGGAGGAAAGTTCAGAATATATTTTCTTGAAATCTGCAGATACTTCTGAATAATCAGCTCGTGAAATTATCGGAAAAATTTGGAGAAAAGCATAAGTTCACAAGTTCTATAGAAAATACTTATTTTATCGAGGGAAATTTAGCCACGTCCAAAGGTTTATACGGCCTCATTCCTTAAAGGTAGCGTACAGTGGCACCAGACCGGAATTAATCCATGATTCGGGATTCACACTTTTTCAACGGCATTATGACTAGGCTGCCGTACTAAGGAAAAAAGCCGTATGAGCCTTCAGACGTTGCCGAATTCCCTTCAATTAAATACGAATCTGCAGGAAAATCAGTGAAAATTTGTCCTCCACGTTTTCAGATAATTTTATTCACACTCACAGAAAAGTTATTCAGGAATTTCAAGGAAATGATTCCTGACTCTCCTTAAAAATAAAACACGGTAATTGATTACAAAATCGAGCTACAAGCCAAAAATAAACAAGTAATAATAGTTTTGTAGTTTTTTATTTTTTTAAGCGTGCCAGTAGGGCTCGCTTTTTGAAATCACTTGGATGTACCATAGTACAGCACACAGATCAACCAATGCTATTCAACGGGTCGTCCAAATACTTTTTTCCTCGCACCCGTTTCTTTGTCTTTGAACCATTACACTGTCAAGCCCTGATGGTTTTTTACCAAAAAATCTAATGAACTGCTAATTGGAAACCCTTGAGAACATTTTTCTGTCAAAACCGTATTATTCAATTTGACAGAAACCTCTTAGGAGCTTTCTTACGCTCGGAGGACTCAACTCTAGAACCTTCTTTCCCGCCAAAACTCTATAGCCAATGAGCGTCTTGCACTGTAAGTGCAATCTGTGATGAGCCTCGTGACTTACTAACCATGGCCCCTGCCGAAATCCACTTAAACCACTACAGTTATCTCGCGATATAGCTTTGGGTGTCCGGTTTCGAGAAAGGCAATAAAAGACGGCGAGGCGATTAACCGATTAACCATTCACCGTGATGCCAGGATCCACCAAATTTTCTCAAAAATTGTTTTCCGTCTATTTAGCGAGTTTTTCTTTACTTTCCGTTGAAGTACAAATAAAAAGAGACCTCATTTGTACAAATCGGCCGAATAGGAGAGAAGTTACAGTTCGAAATCCAAAGAGATTAACTGAACGCGATTTCGGCGCAGTTCGCCCAAATCACGGTCGTGCGCAAATGCCGCATATCAGCTTAAAATCAAGATAATTGGACGGAATCTTTAAAATTAATTTACATTCAACGTTCATGAATCAATATTTTCTTCCAAATTTAGCAAAAAGCACCAATTGATGCAAAAAGCAAAGACGTGAAAATAAGAGGTATTTGTCCAACATTTCAGTTATTCGGCACGCTTTTCCAACATACTCGTGTTGGATTTTTTCTTCTTGTTTTATTTTTAAATTTTTTCTAATTTTTTTTTTTGTTGATTTTTTTTTAGTATATTTTGTAAAATGTTTTCACTGGTTTTTCTTAATGCACAGAAGAAGATCACAGTTTGTGGGCGGTCGAAACGTTTGAATTGTTTCTTGAGAGTTTCATATAGTTTGAAATATTACTCATTTATTTTTGGATTGTAGCTCGATATTTTAATCAATTACCATGTTCTATACAGCTTAGCCAGCCAAATTTGGCAATAAAATGTTCTTAAAAAAAATATTTTATCAGAAGAAATGTGACAACTCTCAAATGTTCTTACGGCGTTTTTCCTCAGCGCGGTAGTCTGGAGGCAGAGCAGGTTGACCTCAATAAATGCGCATTAAGTCCGAGCGAAGGTGGGACGTGGGAAAAGGACGGAGAAAAAACCGCCGAAACGGGGTGCTCTCCAGGTCGCAGACCAGGAAAACGAGGAGCCGAGGACGAATATATATAAAACAAAACAAATTAAATAAAAAAAAACACAGCTAAATATTCCGCCCACACACTGGGGCCACTTTACGAACGAGGAGTGTAACTTGAGCGGGGGTGTAAATGGCTCTTTTTGTGAATGAGCCGAACCGATCAAAATTTAAACGAATGGCTCTCGGAGGATTCAACGCGCGTTTATGCAAGGCCGGGCTCCTCTGTGTTAAATTAACTCCGTCCGCTTTCTGTATCAGCCCTTGCTCACCCCTCTTCTCCCCCACCCCTCCCCCGTTCAGACCGCGTCTTCTTTTATGTTTCCTGATGACTCTTTTTCCGTGGAAATGGAACTGAATTTAAAACACTCGATTCGCGGGGGAAAAAGATGCGCGGTCGCGCGAGTTGAAGTCGAAGTTACGGCCGAGATGAAATCATTATCATAATCATTCGCTGCAGCAGGTAATCAGCCTGATAAGGTGCTATTGAATTTAAATTGAAGGGGCGCAAGTGTGTATGAAATGAGGGGCCGGGTTGCCGGGCTTTCCGCAAAATCGGACCGTGTTTAAGAATTCCATAAAACGTCGTTTTCCTCACGAAAAAACGTAAATCCATTTCAATGTTGACAAACTCCAGATGGTAAATTGCTTGTTAACCAGGGCCGGATTTAGGGGGTGGCCACATGGGCCGCGGCCCATGGCGGCAAATTTAGGGGGCGGCAAAAGTTGTAATTTGTTCATATGTAGGTATCAAGAAAAAAATCTAATTCAGAAAAAAAATTGCAAATGAGAAAAGGCGAAAAAATGTCTCATTTCCTGAGAGTTAAAGTATAGTAATTTCTAATTTGTTCGTCTTTCGGCGATACAAGAGACAGCGCCTTTCATTAGGCTAGTTTAGAGAGAAACCAAACATGCAATTTGGCCTGGAGCGGCGCGGCGCAGAGAGCAATGATAACGAGGACTTTAGATGAAAAGGAGAGGCCCTCGGCGCGCCGGTCAGCATGGAACACATATTAGCGCCTACAAGACTCCATGAATACTTCATGCATTGCATCAAACGTAGTGCGGTCAGCAACGGTTGGCGTGAAGCTCATAGTGCCTACAAGACTGCATGAATACTTCACGCATTGCGTCAAAAACAGTGCGATCAGCAACGGTCAGCGTTGAACGCATAGCGCCTACAAGACTGCAGGGATACTTCACACATTGGGCCAAACAGTGCGGTTGGCACGATGGCGGAAATTAAACCACATTCGTGTTTATGAAATTTTTTACTAAAACTGCAAATATTGATGTTTATTTTGTCACATTTTAAATTTTAAGAGATGTTTTCAGAGGAAAATTTCACGAGGAAACTAGTAGAACCACTTTTAGAACCTCAAAGTTTTGTATAAACGGAGTTATGAGCTTTTAAAGTTTCCAAATTTTGTCCGACCTCTCTTATTGACTCAATCCAGTGTGCGCCACAGTAATCGGTCCTTCTACAACCCCCATGGTGGCAAAATTTCATAAAAAATAAAGTCTTGAAATTCCACCTGAAATATTTCATGAAATTTCAGAAATTTATGAAAAATATTGAAAAAGGAAGATTCCTTTTCATGTTTCGCAAAGTGTAAAAATTGTTATTTTCTTCTATTTTTGTGTGATTGAGTGCGGGTTGCATAGTCTTACCCCAGAAAAATATGAAATATTTCACAGCCTCGGGAAATTTCATTAAATATTTCACTGAAATTTCCAATCTTTCATTTCTATCGTATGTTTCATGCCACCCTACTCAGGGGTTCGCTGTATCTACAGTTTTATGGCCTGTCAAAGTTCCGTCAAATTCCGATCAAAATTATGACCAAGATGGCGGTCGAGAGTTATCTAGATTAATGAGTAAAATTTATTAAAACAGCGTGTTGATTGAAATAAGCATGAAATAAGCACGGTTGTGTGGAAATCAGATGACGGATGAGCCCCTCAGTTACATCATCTACCATCAAATTTTTGCAGGCCGCAGAAATTTGATGGTAGATGGTGCGCACTAGTCACCAATTTTCGGAAATTGATGGGAATTTGAGCGTGTAACCAGCACATAAGTCTCTACCCGTAAAAAGGGAATAAAAAAGCTTACCTCTCAATGGATATGGCCATGAGCGTGAAGACGGAGGCACAAATGGTTAGCACTGAGATAAACTGAGCTATTTTACAGTAGACGAGGCCGAAGGGCCAGTCGCTGGAGAGCATGTAGACGAAGTTGACGGTGACGTTGAGGGCGGAGACCATGGCGTCGGCCACCGAGAGGTTCACCAGGAAGTAGTTGGTCACCGTGCGCATCCGCTTGTGCGAGAGCACGATCCAGATCACGATCAGGTTCCCGCAGCAGGCGATCAGGATCATCGGCGCGAAGAGCATCGTCCAGAGGCACTGCTTCCAGAACGGCAGGATGAACTGGTTGTACCCGGTCCCTGTCTCGTTCGAGACCCCCAGGGACTCCGTCCACGCACTTTCATTCTGCAGGTCCACCGAGGGGACCGACTCGTCCAACCCTCCTGGTTCCATACTCGCGTTCACCTGCATTCAACCCAACACCATGTCTTTCACCGTTCTACCCAACAATCTCGCTATTCAGGAATCGAATTAAACGGCCGACGCTGAATCTTTTAAGGTTAGAGAGGCTGATAGTTCAACCAGAGGTTTTGACCCTGGTAAGCTTGCCATTTTCCGTTCACGGCTTACCCGATCGCGAAATAAAAGCGAGGAGGTTCTATCACTGCTGAAACTTCACGAACGCGATCAAGTCCGAACGAAGTCATTTTGAGCAGGGAATAACACGAGTTTCATGCAAGTCGTCTGGGGTGAGCACCTTAGCATTGATTCACTTGCGGTATCGGTCTCTTCATTGCTCCGGGAAGAATCTGAAACAAGAAGAGAATGAGAGAAAAATAAGCGAGGATTCGTCTAAATCTGGGATGAAATGAGAGAGGTTTGGAAGACGATTCGCGTAAGTGCAGTTTTCGAATAGTTGAGATACAAGTGATATCAACAAGATCTAGGTTTGGAATAAATTCGGTAAAAATTCATCGGTGATGTCCGCAATTTTTAAGCATCAAAATGTGAGTTGAACTTTCTTTCCGCCATAAGACCTCATATAATTTAGAAACTTTAAACATGTTTATCTCGAAATACCAAAAACTGCACTTACGCGCCTTGTCTTCCAAGCCCCTTAAATATATCAATAGATCGAAATTAGCTTATTGAGTAATTTTAAAATGCACAGTAAGAAGAAGAAATCGACATTTTGTTTTAATACGACGAATAGAACACAAGGTAACCTATGCGTGTGATTAATATTATTTAGCTTGTTTTTCTTTGGGTTACGTGGACCAATTCTTTGCGGTGGAAAGTTGCAACCTCCCTCAAAATCTGATTCGAGCCACGAGGATTTAACCTGAATCACGTTGGTGTAGTGTAATATGTAGCCATTTGCAATAAGTTCAGTGAAAATACATTCAACGAATAGTTAAACCAACATTCCGTACTTCATAAATTAGGCTGATTCCTTGGCGGAGAAGTTTTTGTAAGGTGAACTTGATGAGCTTATCGCTCGATACATTCCGAGTACATTAGAGAGCTAAGCTAAGTTAGGTTTGGTTGGGTCAAGCAACTAAACCAACCTCGCGGTGATGCTTAGAGTATCGCGCAATGTTGAAGGCGCGATAGACTTGAGCTTCTGCAAATAAGGTTCCCAACTTGTTCACCACGTACTTCAAATAACACATGAGGCAGTGACCGGAAAATCCATCTCTACTTTTAAGAGATTTAAGAGATAATAATGACTGAACAAGCTCCTTCATTGGTAAGTTAGCCTTTAATTGTTTACTAACACTCCTTGTGCATATTTTTTTCATGAAATTATAATAAACATGACACGATTTGGCAATAGTGAAAGTTTTGTCTGATATAAATTTCATTAAGTTTTACTTAGTACGAGTGTTAGGTTGGCAACCAGAAAGCAGCACCCATGCGGAATGTATCCTATGTAATCAAAACCCTCTACTATTTTAAATTCTGATTATATTCTAAAAATGCAGTCCGAATTAAAACAGCTGCCTCGCACTGTTGCTAGTGCTAATATTTTTTATACCATTATAAGTCATCAGTGTGCCTATGCATTTCATTTCCTTTCACTGTGTGGCAAATTTGCTCTGAAATATTTTAGTTTAATATGAGAAGAGAGAGAGATAGAAAAAAAACATGACGTCGATGAGTGAGTGCCACATTATTTTTTGCCGAATATTTACACCAACTATAAAAAATTAGATATCAAATGTTATTTAAAATTAAATTAAACTAACTCATCGGAAAAACTGAAAACAATCCCTCGGGCGAATAGATTTTTTCGCATATGGATAAAATGAAATATCTGCAGACTGGTATTGAAGCGGGATGCAATGTACTGTAACCGCTGTGGGGAGCTCCTGACAAATAGTGAATTGATTTTTATGTCAGAAAAGGGATTTATGGCCGCTTGGGTTTCATAAGCTGTGACAGTTAGTTGCTAACTTTGGAATTTACGCTTCTGGTCAACGGGTGTTTACCGACGATTTACTTCGGTTGCCAATGGGTGCCACAACGCGGTTTGAATTCAGGGAGAGTTTGATTTTATCCACGCCAAACGGGATCTCGGATTAGAGTGTGCCCTTCAAAGATCTGCATAGGCAACCTCATAGCATGCCTGATTTCCCTGTGATGTGAAAAAAAACTACTCAATAAATGATTCTCTTAAAATTTTGAAATATTTTGCTACGTATGTCTTGGGCAATTCTCAATCGCCGGCAATTTTCAAGCCACTAATGAACCAATAGAAAAATATAAACTTCAGAAAAGATGGAACGTGCTTAGACTGCTAATTATTTTGCCTTCAATGTGATTCGGCACTTTTCCCTTCTTAAATACAAGGAGTAGTAGGCATATGTAGGAGAAAGTGTAGTGAAAACCTTGATCTTAGTTGACTTTGGATCAGACAACTACTAAATTAACACTTTGACAAGAATATCACAAAAAATGGAGGCGTTCAAAGCCGAGATCATGGCATTGAAGGGCATTACCCATCAAACCTTCAACAAGTCAAGGCAAGTTATTGCGATTTTTCGAGACAATATGTGCATCTCACAAATTGTCGGTGACTACTAATTGCCTGCGACACATATAAAGTACGAGATTTTGACGATTAAAACTGACTTATCAATCACTAAAATTTAAAAAGTGATTGACCAATTGTCTAGCAGTGTAGATTTAAACATTCTGATACATGCTTCCTAACCAATATTTTACATAGAACACGATTCGCACAACGGTAATGGCTGAAATGAAACCTGACTAAAGATATGAACGTTTTTAGTTTACATTGGTTACCGTAATTTTATATTCCACGCGTCTCACGAAAACAATAGTCTACTCAAATCAAACCGCGGGTTTTGGCAGGCTCCTCGATTAATTGAGCAATGTTCCTTCCGCAGCCTGTGTTGTTCAAAGTGTTACAGCTGTAACAGCTGAACCGAACCGTCGAGATGGAGATTGCCATATTTTCATGGCGCAAATACTATTACAGTAACGATTAGTGCGCGATTTGACTCACGCAGACGTGTGTTTTTTTCATGATGAGCGGTATGTTTGAGTTTACACATTGATAAACGTCGAATATCTTATTTACATGGAGAAAAAAACTTCGTGCATGGGACCCGAAGTTGAGGTCAAATGGATCTGACGCTTTCTGATCACGCATTCGAAAACTTGAGGTCGAGCTGCCGAAGTTCGGGTTAGACATCGAGGCATTTCGGTATATGCCGGAGTACTTCAGATGTGTGACCCGAACCCTTCGGTATGTACCTAAGTCCTTCAGATGTGTGACCCGAACTTCGGCAGCTCGACCTCAAGTTTTCGAATGCGTGATCAGAAAACTTCAGAGATCCATATGACCTCAATTTTGGGTCCCACGCACGAAGTTTTTTTCTCCGTGCAGCGCCAAAAGATACCTAACTCACATTCCTGAAAAAATTCGAGTTACTGTCGTTTTGGAAATCTATAATAACGGTTCCGTGTGTGTGGAAAATTTGGTAGCCCTATCTGACGCCGGTTATGAGATACGGCATTTCAAAAATTGCGATTTATATTGTAATCAATGGGGCCGACTCACGGTTTTTCCCAGTTATCTCGAAATGACTGAAACGGATCTAAGTACGTTTTGACTCTGGGGCACTGATATGTGTCATTCTTCTTCCAATGTAGATAGGCGCTTTTATACACAAACCAAAAACAGCGGCTCCTCATTGAAAAATGATCTTCAATTTCGAGAATGAAACCGCACAATCAGCGCGAATACGTCAAGGGGGTGTAAAATTTACGACTGAAATGACCATGAGCTCAACAAATTCTGCCGCCAGCAGGCCAGTTATTGAATGTTTCAAGCAGCACGATACGACCTCGAAACTCGATACATTGCATGGTTAAGATAGGATTTGCCTCGTCTTTTCGTATCGACATGGATTCAATAGTCGGAGCGCAGGCTTTGATTCCGGGTGCAAAAACCTACCTATAATTTCCATTGTTCATGCATGGACCCCTTTACATACATCCGACAATGAAACTTCCGAACTCGGCTAAACATGTTCGGCGCGCGAGCTATGTCTTGCGTCGGAGAAGTTCCCCTCGCCGATACGGCCGTGATCGAATTAGCAAACCGGAAAAGTTCACATGTAACCAAACACGGCCAAGAGCGACCTAACTTTAAATCTTGTTTCCTGGAGTTTCCTCCGATAAGGCCGGGCGGGGTTTCCTCAAGTCCAATTTCAAAGCAACGTGCTTTGCCCTTAATCACATACCTCCCCTTTTATCGCAGATCGCGTTTTTTGCTCGGTATATCGTTTATCATGAGCGGTTTGAGCGCACGAATCATTTATTGTTGAACATTATAATATTCTGTCCCCGTGTTGAAGATAAGTCGAGTCCATTGACTCGTAGATTGAGTCAAATGAGACTCCAAAAAGGAGCTGCTGCTGATTCTTCTTCTTCCTTTTTTTTTCTTCTTCTTCTCCTCCTGCTCCTGCTCCTCCTCTCTCCCCTCCCTTCCTGCTCCTCCCTCCCTCCCCCCTTTTTTGCGAACTTTGACTGACACCTAATTATCAGCCTAGAGCAAAGCATTGCAAGTTCACGCCTCGCCCAAGAGCGCCTTCAATTTAGCTAGACGCAACGAGGACATCCATCACGCACGAATAGTTGTATCTCTACGCCGTCATCAAGGCGCATCCTTTCTCTTGCTATATGTACTTTCATATTGTGTTTAATTTCCTTAGATTTAGTTTTGAAGAACGTCATGAAAAGTTCTCTGAGACTCTAAACTGAATAGACGGATTTTACCAAAATCAGCTACATTCATCAGACTTTGCCTAATTTTTGTTCACATTTAATTTTTAACGGCAAAATAAGCAACACTCTGATTTAAAATTTTGTAAGTGTGCATCTTAAATTTTGGAGGAGATTTACGGCGATGAATTTCAAGACGTCATGTTGCTTAGTTTTCTGTCCAGACAGTAAATCATGAGAAGAAATTAGGCAAAATTCTGTAGTTGATATTTCAATAATCAAGTACAAGACCTAGTAGATATTGTCAACTTTCTTCTGACAAGCGTTCAATTTCAATTTTATTCATACTTTATCTGAGCGACCCTTCAACTTCCTTCTTGCGCGAATAGGAAGACACTTGCGATCGAAGCAATTAGTTACTCCTTGTCAGTGCCTCTAGTCTCTTTGACGTGTCGAGTAACGGAAAATTGATACCAGTTAAACAAGGTTGATTGATCGACTTTCTTCGATAGGTATCATTTTTAAGAAAGTGAAAATTAAGTTCTTTCACTTC